CAAGTTGGTGGCCTTGTTCCAGTGGATCCACATGCCGCGCAGATAGTCTCCGAGCAGATTGTAGAGCGGGTACCGAGACAAGAAGGACAGGCAGTAGGGAATCCAATAAGTCTCGTCCGGGTTATCATAGTAGTCAGGTTCGGTCCTCTTGCGCAGATCCCGAATGGTTTCGGCTCTTTTCTCGTCGGCCCTGGACCACACACGAAGGCAGATGCCGTACAGTGTATGGGAGGAATCTTGCTGCAGGACGAATGCGTGATGGACGCAGTGAGGTTGACTGCGGCCGGTGCAAATCTCAACGTCGTGGGGAAAGCAAGCCTGCTTCGCGTAAGCCACACCAAAATTCATGCAACCAGGGTCGCGAACGGCGACTTACCCTCATGGCGGCGTGCAACGACCTGGCGATCTCATTGTCTTGCTCAAGTCTAGGACTGCTTCCAAGGATCTCGGGCAGCCAAAATTGTCCAACCGCGCCCTTCATGTGACCTATCTTGCCCTGAGCGGGGGCAGGAGCCTTTACCCATTGTGAAGGCTCCCTGCCAACACCGCAGACCATGTAGGCGTGGGTCAGAGTCTTGGGCGTTCGCTGCTGGGGCTTTGCGTTTAGGGTTGAGGGAATCGGCTGGGTGATGCGTGAGTGAAGGGAGGAGGTACGACTCGGAATGATAAGATTATTGTCAGCCTGGTCGCGGGTGACGGGCCGACCATCACGGTCACCGGTCCGGGGCCGGGTGAAGGACGAATGTGCGTTCAATGAAGGCGCCATTTCGAGGATTGTCGTGGAGGATATCGAGAGATTGGAAGTGCGATCTAGCGGGTGGCAATCCGGGTCGCCACGACGTGTCCAGCGTGCTGGAATAAATGCGCAAGGAAATTCGGAACCGTGAATTAGGCGACGATCAAGCTACCAGGAGAGCAAGCTCTCGTCGAGGAAGGAGTCGGGGACGAGGTGTTGCTCAGAAGGCCGCCATTCGAAGAGGCCGAGTGTACAGCAACAACAATTGTCCGGTCGGTCTGGTCGAGCAAGAGTTGAGGCTCAGGCACCGACAGATTGCTTGACTGATAGACTGTTCGGTGACAGGTGGGGGAGAGAAGGAGCAAGAAAAGAGGGAGAGAGAGAAAGAGAGAGAAAGACAAGAGATTGGAGACGAGACAAGAAGAGGCGGTTCAGGTAAAAGGAGAGGACTGGCCGGGGGGGGGGGGTCAAGTTAGGAAGTGTTTGGGGGAAAGGCGAGGGCGTGAGCGTGGAGATGCAGACGACAAGAAAGCGAGGGTGTGCCACTGGCGGGCGGGCTAAGATGAAGCAAAAGAGGACCAAGCGCCTCCTAGGTAGGTGCAGGTGCTTTGGGCAGTAGGTAAGGTAGGTAGGTAGGTAGACGTGGTAGAGTAGGTAGGTCGGCACGTAGTAAGGTCCAAGATGAGGTGAACGACGAGTAAGAGGGATGGGCCCAGCAGGTGAAGGTGAGAGTACCTTAGGGAGGTACCTAAGGCACCATTGTAAAGTGGCAGGGCAGACGGCGAGCCGGGGAATTAAGGTCTGGAGCCAACTGCAGCTGTAAGCATGCAGGAGGTATCCGCAGGTGCCTAGGTGAGTGTCGTACATGCGGACACAGCAGGCCCAGAAGAGAGAAAGAGAAGACAGGAGAGGGGAGGGGCCACAACAGCACAGAGGATTGACAGAGAATTGGGGGACGGGTGTGCAGGGGGCAGTATGCAGCTTCAGGAACAGAACAGGGGGGTTATGCTCAGGGCACTAGGCCAGGGTGACAGGCTCGCAGGCCATCCGTAGCCAGGTAACCTTGTAACAGGGGAGGGAACCGTCATGTTCCTGGCCAGGCAAGTACGCAGTAACAGCCTTGACTCTTGCTGTTGCAACCTGGGCGGGAGTGTATGACTTGAGACTCTTCCGCAGCGCCCTAGTGTTTGGGTCTGGACCGCGAACACGGCGATGTGATATGGCTTCAAAGGAGAAGGTGTTTGGTGATTCGTTTACAGGCGCCAGTCGATCTGCAAGGACGGGATACAAGCAACGACCATCGGGAGCGGCACCGCCTGGTCTCGAAGACTCGACTTTCTCCTCAAGAAGAACAAAGGCGGGTCCGCACGGACTTGGCCTAGCCTGGAGTAAAGTGCAGTACTGACCTAGTGTAGGAGGCACCGGCACAGACATATGTTCGCATCCCAACTGCCAAATGGCCCGTTGAAACGGACTCTGTCGTGTCGACGGTGTCGTTTTCTAGTTCCACCTTGTCTTTGTGTCTCTGTCTCGCCATGTCTGCCGTCCCGTCCACCATCCGCCGCCCGTTGGTCCCGACGAGAGAAAGAAACACGCTCCACGACTTGGACCTGTGGTAAGATGCAAGTATCCGTACACCACCTCACCCACTCACTGACGCAGGGGCCCCTCCATCTCGTCAAGCTACCTTACCTACCTAAGGTACCTTAGGTAGGTACCTTACCTTAGTGTACTAGGTATGCAGTAGTCGCGGTAGTGGACCATCACTTGCAGGGCCATCCGGTGCACCTGGTCGCCCTCCCAAATTTGAGCCCCGCCCTCTGCGCCCATCTCCTATGCAGCAACCAGATCACAGCCAATGACAGACGCCGCCCTTCAAGACCGGTCGCCGACGAGGGAAATTACCAGTCTCGTTTGGAAATTCTGTCGTCTCTTGGTCACATCTGTGCCAGAATATTGGACCTAAAATGATTGCGGCTGTCTGTTTTGGTCCTTGAACCTGATTGCCCTTCCCTACACTACTTGACTACCTAGTATTCGACGTAGGTAGGTAGGTCCGTCCGACCTGTCCGTTTCTCATACCTACACGCCACTGAAGACGTTGGACGGTGGGGGGCGCTTCCAACCTCCGCAGAAACGAACGCCTTCCAGACTTGAGACGGAATCCTCGCCGAATTTTTGTCTGCTCTATAAACAGGGTCACGGTCGTCCAAAATGTTGGATACGCGCAACAATGTAACCTTCCGACATGCCCCTCTACCATAGTAGATGGATGACGAATTCGGGCTCAGAATACATCATCTGCCGAAGAGCGCTCAAGCCGCCCGCCCCCCCTTTTCTCCATCACCCACCCCCGATACATACAATGCCAACCATGCTGCCATATTTCCCATGGCAGCATAGTACGGATACTGCGTGCAAACGGCTTGTTCCTGAAGCCCGCTCCTGCGCGTGAGGGCACCACTCAGGAACCACGACGAACCCGGATCGCCGCTTCTGCATCGCATCCCACATAAACAGAGCCTTTAGTGTTTGGGGAGGGGACAGATCCGTGTCGTCGCGTCTTGTGACGACCCTCGCCCCGGCTCATATCGCTGCCGATTACTGTGCGACCGATATAGAAACTAGTCATCCCCGACGCAAGCCATGACAGACACGAGCAGGTATTGATAATACGCAGTGCATACGGTAGTGCGATAATCTGTGGCACCAGAGCCAGTCACTAGTGTAAGTGGAACCCACCGGCTGCTCGGTGCCCTTTCCCTCCCACTCCCGGACTACTTTGTATTCGTACCTCTCATCCTGACGCACTTCACAAGTTCATCGAGGGCTTCATCAGGGGTCGTCCCAGGGACAAGTAGCCGCAGAGCCCAATATTTATAGCAAAGTACGCATACACTACTTGTAACGGGGAGCATCTGTGGCTGTGGGGTAAGGAGAAAAAAAACAAGGAAAAAAAAGCGATGGGTCCACGCGAAGAACCCCCGAGCTACCTTAGTATCCGCAGATTTCTCAGCCGTCCGCTGACTGGCGATCGCTGCCAGAACCAAAGCGCCAATCGCGCCAACCAACGAACGCCGGGCTTATTTCGACTCTCGAGTCGTCCAATCTGTTGCGGAGAGGAATGATGCTCCCTACTTTATTTAGATAAGGTGTTGGGTACCGAAACATCCGTCGAATCCTTTCGACACTGGCAGCACGGCAGACAGTGTGCCAGCAGGGAGTGTCGAGTTTGTTTGTTAGCGTTGTCAATGAATCCTCAGGTTCGGACTGTGGGCGACAGTCCCAACACCCATACAACCTGTCACAAACCTCCGGTCCAGTAGCGACGAGCGATGAACGACCGCGGTCCGACTTGCTGACAAAAACAGGTGCCACCGGCCAGCGCTTTGACCCGATGTTCTGGGTTGAAGACGCGGAGCACAAGGCAGCTTTGGAAACCTCTCCCGTACCATACCATATTAGTAGTATACCAAACCAGTTCTTCTATAACAAAGATAATGCTCCGCACAAAAAGAAGCCAGCCGTGGACCTACAACCCGTGCCCCCCCCCCCCCCCCCCCCCCCCCCCCAACGGCCCCGGGTTGAGTACCAAGTTCATCACTCTTCCGAATCTTGGACGTGGGACTGTACGGATACGATTCGGCCTTGTTGCAGTGCCTCAATGCTGGAACGCATTGCACATGTTCGCACTCATTCGCATCATACACCAGTACGTATCTGCGTGAAGCCCGGCCAAAAGGTCGGTGCAGTTGGTCGTCCTTCGTGCTCACTCCCTGGGCATTCTGCTCCATCATCTCTGTTTGCTTTATCCATGCAGAGAACTCCGAATGTGTACGGCATCACTAGCACTGTGACTTCATGGCCCAAGTGTCGCGGGCTGGACCCTGTCACGATCTGAGCGCCAGTCCCGAAGCCCTGATCGTTGTTCAGGCGTGCCGCTCTTGGACGAATGATTCGCAAGATTGATTGTCGACCCGCATGCATTCTCGGGCGCTGCCCGTGCCATAGTGCCTTTATCTGAGGTCGGGGTTTCTATGAAGTATCCGTAATCTTCTCTACTGCGTACATAGGTTCCATCTGCTGCTTACAACTCTTGCGCATCAGCCCCATTGCACCTATCCAGTGTTGCCCTGTAACAAGACAAACCTGTATGGCGAATGCATTGAGATCAACCTGCCGGAGGACAGGCGGGAGGATTGCGGTTGTTTCTCTAGCGTTGCCTGGCAAGTCTGTCACGGCGCTGTAGCCGGGCAGGTTTGCTCTACCGTCCCGAAAATGAAGAGTGCCGATCTCCCCGGCGGCGAAGCGTGCATGACGGTTCCATTCTTTGTCGATGCGCTCGCTGGCTGACTGGCAAGCAAGTTGTGTTTGTTGTGTATCTTACCTACGAATAGGTAAACGCTCTTTCCCTCTCTCATTGGTCTGTCAACTACGTTTGTATGTACACACCAGATGGTAAGCCTCCGGGATGCCGGCAAAGCACCATCGGAGCCGCCAGCGGGACGGTAGAGCGGGTGGGGCTCTTCGCCGCATTAGGTACGCCGTCCCCATGGCGGGAACGGCGACACATGGGGACGGCGACAACGACTTCGTGCCGACGTAAGTTTCATTCTGTCGCCAGGCATAAAATGGCAGCCCGAGGCTGCTGATCCGAAGCTCGGCACGGTCTTGCGGTGGAGAATCACTCAGTGGAATTTCTCGTCGCGCTCGCGCAAATGGCGACATTCCAACCCAGTAGCTAAAATATTGAAAAATATATATATATAAATAAAAATAATCTTTTTTTACTGTGTCTTGAGAGATGACACACGGCTAAAACCCCGCTTTTCACTGAACGGTTGCGCAAGACGCAAGGACTTTTGCGTCCGCCCCCCCTTATTCTGGCCTTCGCGGCCGTGGTCGCTGTAGCGCGAAAAGCGACGTCAACGTCCGTGTTTTTGACGAAGGTGATGGACGACGATGCTCACTCTGCCGTGTCGGCAAGTCACGATTGACGAGAATCTACATCCACTAGACGCAGGCATCATTATGCGAGGATTCCGCTGTTGAGTACGCCGTAGGCAGTCGGGAGCAAACTTGCATGATACTTACGTTGAGCCATGTCTGACATGTGAATGTGGGCATATGTGGCTAGTGCAGTGCCGCGAGAGGATTGCCAGCGAACGCCATCAAGGGAGGACAGGACCAGGGTTCGCAGCGGAAAGAGCCACTACCACGGCAGAATTTTCCGGTCGTATTATGGTGGCGAAGAGAATCAGGTTGATGGCTAAGGGCGAACAAGGCAGTGTCAATGATATGCACCGGTTCGACAATCATTGATGGATCGAAGTGAGCGTAAAAGAACCTGCAGCATCAAAGTCCGAGGCTCGTGAAGCCGGGTTCCTGCTCAGGGACGGCACGGGAAGGCTTGTGAGAGAAGAGGAAGGGAGTCATTGGAAGGCTATAGTGCTTAGCGGCGCATCGCGGCGGATATTATACCCAATCTCTCGGACTGGTAGCTCGGCGGAGCGTTCCGGTCAAACATGTTGCAGATGACGAAAGGGAGAGGGAGTAGGAGAAATAGCCGCAGGGTAAGGGCCGTGGTCTCATGTCCCAAGAGATGGCGAAACAGGCAAATGTCAAAAGGTCAAAAAGTCACAGGCCAGCGACACTGAACGACAGGTAATGCAGTACATGGGAACGACCTCACCCTGACTTCGTGATAGAGGCAACGCCTCGTCAGTGTTACGCTATTGTGCAGTAGCGCGGCCCAGCGCAGCCGTTGGCTTGGAATTTCCCCGTGATGAAGTTTGAGAAATGTAAAGTGATAAGCTCACTCACAGTGGGCCAATTGGGTCAGGGCATCGTGCCTCCCCGGGAAAAGGTACCGTGACGCCTCAGCCACAGCGTAAGGTGAGGTAATTGGGCAGCGCATCAGCTCACCTCAGATCCTCTGGTAAGGTAAAATGAGGTTGGCCCATCACCAGCCCCAAGCGCGGCGTGCCTAACACTAGGTGCCTACCCACCCAAGGTACCTTAAGGTAAGGAGCACACGGATGCAACCTTTTACTTGCTTCCAGGTTAGGTAGGTACCACCTGCCATGCTCAACCCACCTCACCCAGAGCCTACAGTGTAGAGGTAAGGTACTCACAGACCAAAGCCCGAGCAGCAGCCCACTCTTCGGAACACAGATCGACAACTGCTCCCAGGATGGGCTGGCAGATAAGGCACGGCCATGTGAAGCACACGTACGTGTTGAGCAGCGACTCGACCACGAGCAAGTGGAAAGCTTGAGACCATATTCACACTGCGGACCTAGATGGGCATTGAGGTGCAATCCATGACCGGATCGTTACAGGGAGGACGAAAAAGCCCAGAGCCCTACCAAGGGAAGTGAGCCGGGCACATTACCGATACCGCCGCTACGCCCCTCTTTTCCCCTCCGATTTCTTGTGCAGCTCGACCACCAGCGGGCGGGGCAACAAACCACCTCACTTTCACATGTCAAAAGCCCGGGGTCATGATAGGGATGCATCGAGACTGCGTTGAGGCTGCTCTTGCTTCTGATGAACGACTGTACCAATGACCAAGTCGTACCTCATCTTCTTGCATTATATCCTGCAGTGACCAGCTCCGAGACGGGGCTGTCGTATGTCATACGAGGGAGGGCAAGAGAGTGAGAGCGAGATAAGGCACGCAATTCGGCCACACCTCACCTCGACCTCATCGCCCCTCGCCTCACCTCACCTTACCTGACCTTACCTGGTGAACTTTGGGCTCCACTGCCGGTCAACGAAAGAACGGCGGCATGGAGGAACGCTGGGAAGGCAGAGGGAGAAGGGCAAGGGACGAAAAACGAAGACAGATCTTCGCAGGGGCGACGTTCGAGACACGGAAAAAGGAATTCACACACAGGAAGCAAGCTTGAATCTCGAGGAGCAACCGTTCCTGATGGTGCAGCAGCAGGAGCACCATCTCCCGCTGGCATGCGGCCGTGTGGAGGGACGTGGAGATGCATGTCCTGAACCAGTGCATCCAATGTACCTCGCGGGTAGGGATACTTGGTCCAAGCCCCGCCACCAGTGGCATTCCTGCGCGTCTCGTTGGTTTTCCTTTCCCTCAGCCTTTGACATGGTCGTGACAAGACGTGGTGGTGGTGGATGAGAAGGAAAGCACATGCTAATCGCTCTCGCTCTAGCTCTTCCTAGTCTGCATCCTAACTTCTAAGGGGTTCAAGCAAGGCCAGCCCAGACATGCCTTGCTACTGACATGCAATGGTACTACCTGGGTAGATAAATACCTTACTTTACTTTTTCATTTCTGTCCATGCCCGTCTGTGGCGTCAACCTCGTCACCACCCATTGCATCCCGTCCCATCCCATCCCATCCCGTCCCGTCCATTACAGACAAGCTCGTCTTCTCGTTCCAGCTGTTCCCTCCCTTTTAGCTCTGCCTACTCCCTCCAACTCGCTTCCCTCTCCCCCTCCCATTACCCAAAACCTTCCGGCCGTCCTTTCCTTTTTCCAAACTTCTTGCTCAACATCTGCTCTACTCCGCTCTGCACTCTTGCTCTAGCAACCACCTGCTTACATCCACGACTCCCTGACTGTTGAGCCTCAATCGACTTCACCCCTATCTGGACACTTGCCCTGAACTACCGCTCTCACCATCAAACAGCCGCCTACATGTCCAAAATGGCCCAAGTCAACGGTGACCTCCCGGCTGTCAACTCAGCCACTGCTCAGGTAAGAAGCTTCGCAATTCACCCGAAGCTTTGTACTGTCGGCGCTGACCCAATGACACAGCATCTGCTGGACATTCCCGTGATTCACGACGGCGTTGTCGCCTTCAGGAACAACCCTCTCGGCAAGAAGTCGATCGCCATTGGTGACTCTGCCTACCAAACCTTTGCCGCCCCTCTCCTTCCCTATCTGGCCCGTCCCTGGGGCTACCTGCGCCCTTACGCGGAGAAGGCCGACGCTCTTGGCGACCAGACCCTGACCAAGGTCGAGGAGCGCGTCCCCGTCATCAAGAAGCCCACCGAGGAACTTTATGCCGGGGCCAAGGGCATCATCGCTTTGCCGATTCGTACCGGGTTCGAGGCCAAGGACCACGTCTTCAAGACGTATGCCCAGGAGAAGAAGAAGGTTGGTGGTGAGAACCTGGTGACTTACGGCAAGGCCATTGTCAGCACTACTCTCATCACTACTAGCGAAATCATCATCTGGGTTGGAGATGTCATGCACTACAAGAAGGAGGAGGCCAAGGACGTCGTGAACGAAAAGGTCAACAACTAAGCCTGTACCTGTACTGGCATTCGTACCGCCGGCTAGTTCCCTTCCCTCCACTTCATATACCCTTCTCATGCGACTCGAACTATCCTTGATTCTTGTATCGCAGTCATGATGGCGGACGCTTCAACGACATACAGCAAGGAACGGAATTTATACCTCGGATAAAGAGCTTTTATTTGTACTTGTCATGTTCTGCTCTCTTATGTCTGTTTCCCATGTTGGTGTACGAGATGGAAGGCTTGCCGCGCGTCACCCCAGTCCTGAGTTCGGGACCAACTGATTACGGAACCTCTCTCAACGTTGATGGGTTCCGTAGAAAATAGGGCGCTTCCCTCACTACGGAGTTTGAATGGATCCGTAATTGGTTGCAGGTGTGCGACGGGGGAGCGAGGCTTTGCCAGTGCTGGAGTTGTTCATGGAACGAGATGAGACCCAAAATTAATAGACGTGCGCGTTTCTCTTGACCCCCCTGCTCTCAGGAGCTCTGAAGATTTAACCATCAAACCTCTGTTGGCATGCCCGCACGTGCCGCGGTTCATGCCGCGTGTCCAGGCACGAGCCGGGTGATATCTGAGTCGCCGTCACGCCGGTTACAGAGGATTTTGACACTGATATGAGGATAACAGGGAGAGAGAGATGCGTAGAAAGGGGTAAGAAAGGAGAAACGACGCCTTAGTCAGTCACGGAAGTGCACTAAGACAACTGACAAGCACGAGCGCGATGCAATAATTTGACAGTGCTGCTTAAGCTCCCTGTTCTGTTGTCTTACGTCCACGTCCAGGCACGAGTGTACCCTGTGGTAAGGTAGGTAGGTACTATAGCTTGCTTTTAGCAACTCAATTTTGACGTGAGATCGGATCAATTACGAGCAGCAAGCAGCTGGAGGACGACCTGGGCGAGAGAGGGAAACTGGGGAGAATTGCCGCCTGCTGATTGGGCTAGGGTGGGTTTCTCCAAAACAATCTGTGACCTCAGGCACCCAGCTCGGTGCCTCCGGCCATCAACCTCATAGCGCCCGGCCACGACTGACTGTGTCAGCAAGTCCCATACTGATAATTGCTGATGTAAATTTGACTAAGCCTAGTCGCTGGCCAGAAGGTGGCGGAGACACCCTCACGATGCTAGGTAAGGTAACCTGCCTCAGGTGGAGAGAAAGCGAAAAGGGCGAAGAAATAGACCATGAAACAAAAAGGTGCATGTGTATGCCATTTGCCAATCGCGCTTCTAGAATATAGGAGTCTTGTTCATCTGTCCTCCGGTTGCCCAACGAGAACCAT